GAACATCAGACAAGCAAAACTTGTAAATAAAATAAAGGTTGAATTGGGAGTGTGTATTTCCACTGTACGTATATGAAGGCCTCTCACATGGTCTGGTCCCCGAGGATCCCTCAGAAGCAGTGATTTAGTCTCTTGCTTTCTAAAATTAGGAGACTTCTTAAAGGAGACAAAGAATGTAGTTGAGATAGAAGGACAATATTAGCTCTACCTTTCCTGAAGTCTTCACGCCTTTCCACAGACTAAAGAAAAGAATGATTACCACCACCAAGAGGCAGAGGGAAAGTTGCCAGCGAGGCAAGCCAAGGTCATGGATTCCACGGCTTTCGTGCAGGTGCAGAACTCCTCGCCTACATACCGGATACACAGAAACAAAGCAAAGTCACTGGGGGAAAAAGGCTTTTACATATCTCATCCTGTGGACTGCAGAAGTGGATGCTGCACTGCAGTAGTAGTTGCCCTACTCACATCACTAGCAGTTGGTGAAATCTGTTTTGTGAAGCCATGTATTGTGCTTCTTCCCACAATGCCTTTATGGTATCACTGGCCCATCAGTGTCTGTTTAGCACCATAGTGCCATAATGATAGCACTCTTTTGTTCACTGGAAGTGTTTGGGCATTTTGGAAGTGTCATTCATTGATTCTTGCTTGAACACTGAACGATGCCCAGAGAGGCTGCAGAGTCTCTGTCCTTGGAGATTTTAAAACTTGGCCAGTAAAGGTCTTGAGCATACTGCTTTACTTTCAAAGTTAGCCTTGCTTTTGGGCAAGGAGTTGTATTAGATGGCCTTCAGAGACCTCTTTCAACATAAATTATTTTGTGATTCTAGGTAAGCAAACACTGGCTTCCTGCAACTTGAGCAGTTCCAAAGTTACTTTCAATTTCTTTTTGAATAGGCTGTAAGTGGTTGGCTAGGAAAAGCAACAGTTGGTAAATTTAAATTGTATTTAGTGTTCTGTGTTGTTCACTGAGAGAGTGGAGCGATAGCAGAGGAAATTCTGTTTCTTACCAAGGCAGGCTAATTCTTTTGAGATCTACACAGTGAAATGGATTGAAGTGTAGAAAAGAGTGTCTTCATCACTCCAGTTAGAGTTGTCAAAACACATTGTGTGCAACAGGCACAGGAATATGGGAGAGATGTTATAGTGGATCTCCCTTCCTTTAACTCAGTTCTATGCTATTGAAGTGTCTCTTACTGCTTTTACAAGTCTAAAAAATGCAAAAAGATTTTGCTTTCCTGAAAGCTGTATTTGCAAAGAGAAATGGCATTGCAGCTGGAGCACTGCACTAGAGGTGAACTGCAGAACTAACTCCTGGTTCTGATCTGCATCTAAAGGATGCTGGCTCAGGGATTCAATTTCTTAGTGTTTCGGTGCCTGTACAGATAAAATGGTCATGACCTTCCCTGTCTCCTCCCCTTTCTCTATCCCCTTTTATTTGTTATACACTGCTTGGGTGAAATAGAAAGTTGATCTCTGTTGGCTTCTCTTAGCACCATGATAGTACAAACAAATCAAATCAAAGAAGCAGTTTTCACTGGAGGACCTTGACGTGTTTTATGACGATAACTATATTTCAGAGAAACTGAAGTACTGAGTGATTTGCCCAGCATGGCTGCAGGCATGTAGAGACGAAAGCCTGAGGAGTCTAATTCCAGCCCCATTGGCTGTCCCCGTACAATCTTTTACTGGATAGATGGTGCTTCAGAATTAACTTAATCCCTTTTCTTATCAAGTCAGAGATGAGTGAGATAATTGAATAAGTTCCAAGACAGGGCAAACCTGTGTCAAATTACATGGAGGTAAACTAAATTTTTTCTACAGTACTAAAACTGTAGAAAAATGATGGGAAAATTAAGATCCACTAGAACGATCCATCTAGTAATATGAGAGAGTTGCATAAAACTACCTTTTGATCCCTAAAATATCAAGATATGATCAGCTAAGAATTGTAATAGTTCTGCTTCTGTGGTTTCTCATGCTTAGTAAGAAATGCTGTATTTTTTAACTCTTTCAACGATCAATCCCAGGTTAGATAAAAAAATACCTATAGAAAGCATCCTCCTAAATTAAGCAGCTGATCTGTTTCTGTTGCATTGTAAGGCTATAACAAGTAAGGCATTAAAAGGGTAGTGACCATGTGTTTGTGGCATATATTCAAGAATGTTGCTAATTAGAAAGTATGAGGTGAGTATATAGCTGTTACCTGTGGAAACAGTAAAAGAGGCAGACTTCTTGATATCTCATCTAAAAACCTATTATCTTTAAATATAAATAAATAGGTAGGTCTCATTCAACTTTTGCTTAGAGTGTGAATGAAAGTTACTTGAATTTCTGCTGATAAAGTATAATTTGCCAGAGGATCCACAGGTGTAAGTGAATCCTGGGCAGGGATGCCTGATTACACTTCAAACTTACCAGCTTGGGCAGTTGTTAAGTATAGCCAGGAAAAGCTTCACAGGTTTCTGATAAGAACTTTTGTCCAGGATCTTGGGGGAGTTTTGGCAATCTGTGCTATCGCAGTTACACTGCTATCATTATTAGAGCTGGATGTTGTAAAGAAAGTCCTTTGGATTACGATGTGTAGGTGTCTACTCAGAAAAACTGAATCTGAACGTGTGTTCTTTGTGCATGTTTAACTTTTTATTTTGCTTGCCCAAGTATTTTTTGAGATTTGTAAAGAAGCCAGCTTCCTTATGTGTTTGCTCTCCAAGAAGCAGCTAGCAATGTGTCTTTCTGTTTGGAACACTTGCCAGAACTGCCACTTCAAATGTGGGATTCCTAGGATTTTCAGGAGAATCTCCATTCCAAGACTCCCTTAATCAGGGTAAGGGATCATAAAATAGGAAGCGAAAAATAAGTTTGTAACCAGTCAAAACAGCTGTGTAACTCGGCAGCTAAACAAGGAAATCTTCATAGACAGCTGCTGTTTCTGAGCTGTAATTCTGGCAGGTTTTGCTTCCTTTTCCTTTTTTCTTTTTTGTTTTTCTTTGTGACCTTTGAAGATAAGTCACAGAAGCTTTCCAAAAGATGCCCTTGTTGAGGGTTGCTGGGAAGTAGTTCATGACTGTTTACCTACTAGAAGCTACATTTCTGTTCCAGTGGCACCATAAAGTATAAAAGATCTAGTGCTAGACTGCGATTTAGGTTAAGATGTGCTGACAACCGAAGAGATAGAGAAGCAGTGGCCAAAGTATTAGACTAAACCTTCTTGGTTTGAAGGAGATATATATATATATAGTTCTGTAATATTCTTTGAAAAACAGTCATTTTTGAAGAAGGCAAATATGAAAAGAACTTAGTATTCATCATGTTCATCCAAGTTAGCATACATCAGTGATGCTATAGAAAATCCAGTTAGCTCAGTTATGCCACAATTATTCTTATTTCACATCAAGGAGTACTTATTTCAGGAGCAGCTGAGGCTGTTTTTAGCCTGTCTATGTTAAGGTAGGATGAGTGATAAATCCCTAACTGGCTCCTTTAGGTTATATTCAGTCACTTCGCTTATACTGGCTACAAAGAGGAAAATGTGAAGTAAGAGATACTGCAATATTCCCCATTCAGGAAGCTCTGAGGTCGAAACACCTGAATTTTGAGCCTTTTGATATTACAGCAGAATAATGCAATGTGGCCAACATCCATTCCTGAATTGAGGTTGCCTTCACTAGCTGCAGGATTGTCCCATTTTCCAATGCTATAAAGACATGTACAAGTCATAGACAAAATGGCATTAACTGATCTCTCTTAAACCCCTAAGCCAGGGAACTAGAGGAGATACAGCACCAATTAGTATCGGCCTCTGTTGTCTGTCAACTTCTTTAAATTATGTCCAAAGCTACTGAGGATGTCTTAAGTAAAAGCTTCTGAAAGTGATTCTTGTTTGATAAGTATAGAGATATACGTCCAATTCTGCTGACAAAATAAACTCTCATAATTCAGAACCCTGAATTAAAGAGAAAGGAAAAATCAGAGGCAGTAAGACAACTAGAATTAGTATTTTGCCTGGAGATTGTTGTTATTGAGAAAGGAATTCGAGTAGATGAATGATACATGTGAAAAGGAGAAGAAAATGTTATGGGGGAAAGATTGAGAATAAACATTAACAGATGGAGCTGACAAAGTAGAACAAGGACCTATTATATTATGCTGAGCAAAATACAAGAGCAGCTAATAAATTGTTTAAGCTTTCTGGTGTTCTAGTCAGAGCTCTAGCAATATTTAGTTAGCACAGCACCAAGAATCAAAGAACATGCAAGAACATGCACTAGAGATAAGAAATTAACCTTTTTTAAAATTATTTATTTATTTTATATCAGGGATTTGTGCAAAGGAGACTGATTAAGCTAAGACTGCTTTCCGTGTAAGGGAGTGTAAATTACATTTGCAATGACTTTGAGACTGTACATCACTGTAAATACAGGTCCCGAGAGTCCTTCTGCCTATCTGCAAGAGGAGCAGGCATGTGAAGGGATTTCAGATTGAAGTTCCATTCAGAGATTCTGGTTTCTCTCTTTGGGAGATGTCTTCTTGTTCTCTCCTTACCTGTGGACTCTGCTGGGAAGATACCCCTAGTCACCCAATAACTCTAGCACCAATTCTTGCCTTGCTTCCACACTGCATTCAGCTAAAGGGAAATAGTTCACCTCCATTGAAATCAGCAAACAGCAATTCACTTGCTGGTACCACTGTCTTCTGTTTTGACTTTGTGCAGCACTTAAGTCCTCTTTAATTTGGTGTCAGATCGCAAAGAGCCAACAGGAAGCCCAGCTGTTTGGTATTCACACATAAACCCTACTAAAGACAAATTATTGAGGAGGCAGGGGGGCAGCTGCTCAGTGGGACTCAGTAAATGAATGATCCAGTCATAGTTCTAATAATAGGTAATGTTGGAACCAATAAACTCTTCTCTGTATCTTAGTGTTCCCATCTATAAAACAAGGATTATTATAAACCTTTGCTTTGTCTCCATTCTGAGCAATTCACAACATACTCTTTATGGAGGTGGTGAGTATTTGAGTATAAATAGGGAACCAAACCAAAGGAAAAAGAAATGCCAAGGGTCATGATCTGAAAATTACTCTGTATCTTGTTCCCTCCAAAACATTTAATCCATAGCCAGAAAACAGGAGGTAAGAGTTTTAGGTGTAGAATTCTCCTAGACTTTGTCAGACTGGTCCTTTCTAAGGAGCCTTATCTATTATTGATCCCTAGGCAGATTTACATGATTGTTTTTTGGAAATTTAGAAGGTTTTGTACAAACAGATCAAGTTAAAGGTCTTGGAGTAGGCCTATTTTTTCTAGTCCCAAGTCAATTATAATTTTAGGTTTCAATCCAAATATGATTACA